ATGTTTATTGCAGTGATTTGGGGGAAGTACTGCACTGATCTTTCCTTCCCAGACAATAGTTTGTGAAGTATTCATGACTAGCCTTCATACGTTTTTTATGTCCACAAATAATAACACAAAAGTATATGTGTTTGCAGCTATCTAGTAGCAGCAAACCAAAAGTGAAAGCAAATAAAATGGCTGAATGGTTCCTACTTCTTTTTAAGCCAACTGAGAAGTCATGCACGGAACATTTAAAAGCAATTGAGTGACATATGCCCTGAGCATGGTTCATAACCAGAGGGTCCAAACATCACAGACTTCCTGCAACATGTCACAACTGACTCAGGAGCATTTAACATCGTCTCCTCTAGTTTCAGACTTTTTGCAAGACGCAACTCTATAAATATGTACATTTTTAATTAGCAAGTTTCATTAATGTCTCAAAAATATAAATAAAAATTTATTCACAGAGATTGTCAGGAAGAACTGACTGTCAGTGAGAAGTGAGATTAACAAGCAGTTCATTTTTTTTCTCTAAAAATTGTTCATCTGACATCATCTTACCCTTTACCTTCCAGTCACCAGATCTCATAGCTGTGAGATCCTTCACCCTGACAAATGTTCCCAGAAATGTGTATCTCTGCTGTAATTAATTTTGAAAGAAGAGCAGACATGCAAATTGCCATTCACTCTCAGTGGATTTTCTAGACTCAGGTTTGCTGAGCAATGAAAGGTTGCCTCTGATTCTACCATGTATCAAATAAGCCAGATGAATTTAATAAACAATAAAGAAGCTGTTTCTTGTAGGCCTATAAGGATTTCAAACATAAATTTTCGCAGTAAAAATGATTTCTTATAACTCATTCACAGTGCTACTTTGCACTGGTTGTCAAATCGTTAATCATAACAGAGTCTCTGTCATTAATCAAATCAGAATCTCCACTGATAAAGGAAACATACTAACAAAAAAAATGTACATGGGGCTCACATGGGGCAGAGCATACACTATGAGACCAGTGCTCAGGCTGAGCGTAATGCTCTTACAACTTCTTAAGCTATTGAATAAGATGAGGCTATGAAGTCCAGAAACAAAGACTCAGTAAACCTTGGCATGCAGCACAGTATACTTGGGAAGCACAGGTACAAAATGTACATCAGCTCTTATTTTTATAATTGTAACAAATTAGCTAAGGCTAAATTTAAAATTAAAACATGCTTTCAGTCTAGAGCCACTGTTAGGACTGGAAGCCATTCTGCTCAGTAGCAGGATGTGGGTTGAGACGGAAACGACCCTTCAAGTCTTCTGTTACTCTGTGTCTGAGAAATTGTGAAGATAAATCACTGAGGAAAACCTGTCTGTGCAGTATGTCTCTCTCTTATGCTTTTAATAGCACTTGTCTAAGAATCTTTTTTCATCTTGTGCCCAGTCTGCAAGTATATCTAGTAAGGGCCTGCTCTCTGTTTTGTTTTGTAAGGTCTCTCTCTACCCTGGGTCTCTACTCATGTCCATGGCTGGATTACATAGACCCTGCAATATTTTCTGTAAGTACACCAAGTACTTCAGGTTGTCCTTTGAATCATTTTTGGACCTTGGGCCTGCTGAGAGCTGAGATATATTAACTTGGCTACACATCTCCTGGATTAGAGCTGACATATTCAGCCAGCCTGGAGTGGAACTTATTCAAGTGGATATACTCAAATTGATGGTGTGGTTGTACTGAAGCATTTTCCAAGAAGGACCACGTGAAGGTTATCATCTTATGCACAAACAATATAAAGAAAACAACTATATGCTTAAAAGAGAGAGGAGAGGAGAGGAGAGGAGAGGAGAGGAGAGGAGAGGAGAGGAGAGGAGAGGAGAGGAGAGGAGAGGAGAGGAGAGGAGAGGAGAGGAGAGGAGAGGAGAGGAGAGGAGAGGAGAGGAGAGGAGAGGAGAGGAGAGGAGAGGAGAGGAGAGGAGAGGAGAGGAGAGGAGAGGAGAAGGGAAACCCAGGTCTAATGGCTTTTCTGCAATTCCTAATAAATATTTAAGTTCACCACAGTTTGATGATAAATATCATCATGCATTAAGTTATAGAAAGGTAAGGCTTATTCTGAAACTGCCAGCAGTGCTCAGTAGTGCTCAAACACTACAGAGTAACAGATTAACTCAAGCAACTAGTAAATCAGACTAATAGGAAAGCTGTCTTTTGCAACCATTCCACTTCTGGGAACACACAATCCATGTCAATTAAAAATAAAATAAATGTTTCATTAAAGATCCCAATGTATTTCTTAAAGAACAAGAAGAATTTGTAGGATGCATAAGGATATATAACTCAGCCTGGTAACTTTCTCTAAGGGATTCAGCCTGCCTTTGTAGGCTTACAAAGTCCTTACCATGCAGAGTCAATTATGACTGCATTGCTTGCTACTGCATAACGTCTTCAGCAGCTTTTCATCCAAGAACATATTTCTATTTTTCCAGGATTTGGACTCACCTACATCAAATTTTGGAAGGAGCAATTTGAAAACTGTGAATGTGATGATAGCCTAATCCCTCAAAACTTTAGCAATGAAAATATGGAAAAGCTGTTGTATAAAAAGATAGCTAAATAGAATGGTTTAGTTTGACAGAAATAGAAAATGTGACTCAGATACAGAAAAGAGCTCTTTGCCCTTTAAAAACTCGCTCTTGTTTTCCCTCTAACACAGGAGCTTTTCAGGGAGAGTCTGATGATGCTGCATTATTGATGTGATACAGGTCTCTGGTGGAAACAGATGTGATATGTTTGGATTTCTCTGATAGTCTGGGCTGAACACAAAGCAAATTATCAAATGTTGGAAGGCTCGGGTTCAGTGAGAGTGTTCAAAGCAGACTTTTATAAGAAGTTCTTAAATAATAAATCTTAAATTTCAAGCCTGTTGCATAACCAAAAGTTATATATGTACTAAAAGAAATGTGCCCCAAGTGATTCTGTAGACAGACTGCAACTGAGATCAAAATGCATACGTACAGATTTAGGATTTGTTTGTTCTCAAATCAGGCACTTATAGTTGGGGGTAAACAACGTGCATTAGGAGTCTGGATGAAAATTCATAGAACTACAGAATCAGTGAGGCTGGAATATGTAAAACTTAAATGAATATTCATAATCTCTCCTACAATTTTGTCACCCTGTGTTGGATCTTAAAAAAAAAAAAAACAAACCCAAAAACAAAACATCACCATTTTGAACCATAACAATTATATTTATTACTTGATAGTTCCTGGCAGGTTGTTACACAAAACAGAGTTCTCCCATGCAAAAAGAGGTCAAGCAGAGGTAGAAGAGGGCTGTTTTAGCCTAGGCTAAGCACACTTCAGCTTCAGTAGTTATCCAAGACTACTTAAAAAAGGTGGGTTCCATTTATCCACCCCAGCAAATCACACAATACATGTCTGTAGGAAGCCCAAGTTTCACAGGTCAAGTTTTCAGTACATTTTGAGATACCTGCCTAAGATTTCCCTTCCCAGCTGACAGTGAACCTCTAAGAAGGCTCTACTAAAGCAATGAACTGCAGTCTCTTGTAATAAATAAGACAAGCAGTATGATGGGGTGTGCTAGATTATATCTCACTTGTGCGACAGCTTAATGTGGCTTCCATTTAATCAAAATTTCCATAAAGATGCTCAGATCAGAATACTGTTTCCTGGTCTCTGCCGAAAATGTGAGATCCACAGTGACCATGTTGACACATCTCAGCTCTGACTTCCATCTTCCTTCAGAAGAAGCTTCTTGGCTGTCTTCCTCATAATTCCTGCAAACTCAAGGGAAAAAAATATCTTGATCTTGCTGCATGTGCCATTCTTCCTTTTAAATCCTCCCTACTGTCATTTGAGATCTGTGCTCAAGATGAGCATTTTTAAAATAGGTTCAAAGACAACTGGCTGTGAGGGCACAGGGACAACACTGATGGAAGATTCCCTGGAGGCATTCAAGAAATGGGTAGCTGTTGTACTAAGGAACATGGTTTAGTGGGGAAATGCTGGTGGCAGATGGCCAGGTGGACAGGATGCTCTTGCAGGTCTTTTCCAGCCTTGGTGGTACCATGATTCTATGATTTCACACAGCTGGCGAGCTCTTAAATTGGAGAGCTGGGAGAAGATGAGTGCCACCTGGTGAAGCAAGCCCTCGGGCAGCCTGGGAGAGGTCCACATTAGCCTAAATGATAGGCTAAAAGGAAGGGACAGGAAGAGACGCTACACCTCTCCCATGGCCAACTGCTTGATGGACCAGAAAAACAACCATAGCTGAGCACAAGCAAGGACACGCACTCCAAGCCCACTACACCTGTGCTTGGGAGTGCCACCTTCCTCTCACAAGGCGTGAGGGGCGGCTGTGGGGCAGGCACAAGAAGGAGTTGCACATCTCCAACCTCCCACAAGGAGCACGGTCAGCCGCCCAAAGCAAAGGGACACAGAGTGCCGGACATCACCCTACCCCACCGACTCAGCACGCACGACACGGCGGGCCGAGGCACGGCAGAGAGTGGCCGCCGGGGGGGGGCGGGGCCGGGCGGTCGGGGGCAGACCGTGTGAGGGCAGGGCGGCGGCGGGCCGGCGCAGGTGCGCAGGTGGGGGGGCGGCGGTGGCCGTCCTGCAGCCATTTCCCTGTGTCACGGCTCCGTTTCTTAGCAACGGCTCCGAGTCCGGCCGCTAGTCGCGGCAGCCGTGCACCGCCCTAAGCGGCAGAGACGGCGGCTCCGCCGGGCGGGCGCTGCCGAGGGGCGGCCCCGCGGCGGGAAGGATGCGGCACGGCGCGGGGGCAGCACTCCCGCCGAGCAACCTGAGGCGGCCGGCGGCGGCGGGGCCGTGGGAGAGCCCAGTGCTCGGCCCAGCCCCGCCGCCCGCCCGCCCGGGGCCGTGAGGGGCGGTGAGGCGGCGGCGGGGCGGGCGCCGCGCGGGGATGCCCGCTCGGGCCGGAAAGTTTCTTCCCCGCTGTGGCTCGGCCGCTGACCTCTCGCCGGTCTTTCTCGGTAAGTGGGTGCGGAGCCTTCGGCGGCGCCGCTGCCATTTTGCGCGGTGTTCGGGAGACCCCGGCCCCTGCCGCCGGGAGCAGCGCCCAGCAGCCTGGCCACCCGGCTCCCGAAAACCGCTTATTCGCTCCGCGAGCGGTACCTGAGGAGCGGGCGCGAAGCCCGGGTTCTCTCCGGTTCCCCGTCCGTCTGTCAGAACAGCGTGAGAACTGCGCCCCGGGGCGCCCGCTGTCTGCGCACCGCCATCGGCTCGTGCATTCGCTCCGCAGCCTTCGGAAGTGTCCCCGAGTCTCTGCGTTGTTTTCTTCTGTTGCCGTCGCTGGTGCTCTCGTTGGCGGTCCCCTCCTTCACGTGCTCTGCGCTCCTTTCTAAACGGGAAAAACTCAGTGCCGGGCGGTGCTGTCTCAGGAAGGCAGCTCCGAAATGATTGCCATCTGTTTTCGTCGTTGTGGAGGAGACCGGTTCCTATCGGGGGGGCAGGAGAAGGAATGAGATCAGCGAGCGGCGATTACAGCAAATCCTGCCCCGGTAATTGCACTTCTGCACTGACAAAAATTTTTTTTGTTGTTGTTGTTGTTGTTTTTAAAGTAAGTAGTTTGATGATAGAGACTTCTCGTTCCTGTCCTTTGTTTTGAGTACGCCGTACCTCAGAGAGTAATTTAACAGCATCCTCGCTGGCAGCAAAAAAATCGAACAGAGTAAATTGGGCACAGACTCCTCACCTACATGTAAAATCTGGGAATAGAGGAGGGGAGAAATGAGATTTAAACGCTAAACAGGGAAAGGACGAGAAGTATTTTTTTTTTCCTAGGTGCTTGCTTAATTGTCTTTCAGTGCAATGAATTGAACTTTATAAACCAGATTATATTCAGTGCTGTCATCTTTTTGTTCCCTCGAAAAAACAAAGCTATACCGTCCCAAACTGGACTGTTAGCAAGGGGGGGAAGCCTTCTTCTTGGAAGTGTGAGGGGTAGAGAGTCCAGGAAAAAAAAAAAAATATCACAGCAGCACAGGAATTGTTCCTACATGGTGCATTTTGCGGCTTCAGTCACTGGAACACGCAGATGAGTCCTGACAGTCAGTGAAATAAAAGCTATAAATGATAGCTGTTCAGTCACTTGCCAGTTTCTCTACAAGCAATCCTTGCCTTTTCCCCAGGTGATTTGCAGGGGTTTGCTCCTCCTTTAATAAGATGTGACATGCTACCTACCAGCCACCATCTCCCCTCTCTGGAGGTGGGGGGATGTGGCCGTGGTTGCATAACAGTTGCCCTGAACTTCACACATGTTCCCAAAGCAGGAGGCTGTCCAGCTGACACTCCCTGACCACAGGCAAGTGATTAATATATTTTTTTTTTAATATTGCAGATAGAATTCTAAGGAAGTGAAAGAAACTTTTGTGGGATACTGCTTTCTATTATTCTGGTTTCCCTTGCATGTTTCACAGTGATTTCTTTTCCCCTCCTTTAGAAAAAGTAATATGCTTAACACTCCACCACTAATGTGCAAATAGTGTAGTAAAATGAATGGTATCTATAGATCAAATGTAATCCTTCCTGCTTTTATTTTCTTCATACCTCACATCTAGTTCCTGCATTACATCACTAACCACAGTGTGGTTAAGTTGCTGTGTGGCATAACCCCAAACCTGTGGGAACGGGGCTTCAGGGCAGGGAAGCTGTCAGCCTCCTCTGAAGCATGGTGTTTTGCAAGCACTGTCTGAGACTAGCATGATCATTTTCTGTTTATGCTAGCAGGTACTACCCCATCTATCATTTATCTGGAGCATAAAGAAATTAATTAGCTGTGTGCCAAGGGTCTAGTGGGGCTGCTTCTCTTTGCAGAACTGCCTAATCATCTGTCTCATCAGTCTGCCTGTCTTTCTTACATACAGAAGCTGCATGGACAAGAGAGATCAGCGTGTTGGTGTTACCACTGTCCCACTTGTTGAGGGGTTTAATTAATGGGAGAATGGAGGACGAACAAGAGACGGAGACACCCGTTGTGCTATAGGTCTGTCACTGATCCTCACCCTCTTCTCTTTTTCCCTGCAGGAGCTGGAGCAGCTATAGGGAGCAGTGCCCTGGGTAGCCAGCCATGATCGCCACTGGAGGCCTCCTGAGGATCTCAGCTAGGAAACAGGATCCCTTGCGACCACAAAGCCAAATCCCCAAACGCAAACGTAAGGCCAAGAAGAAACGCAAAAATGATGTTGTGGTTGTGAAAGGCAAGCTCAAGCTGTGCTCCATCTCAGGGCTCATCGCCCTCTGTGGCATCCTGGTACTGCTAGTGGGCATCGCCTTGGCTATTGTGGGCTACTGGCCTAAGTCCAGCCAGGTATACAGAGAAGTTAGTGAGGGCAGGCACCTGGCCCCTCAGGGTGGCACCCTCAAGAACCGCTCCCAGAACCAGGAAGGGGCACAAGCTGAGATCTACCTGGAGTCACCTTCCAGAGCCAATTCCACCGCTGCTATCAGCCAGGAGTTCCCGCAGTCCTATCCCACTTCCTCATCCCCCCAAGCTTCAGTGGGTTTCCTTTTCCGTCTTTTCTCAAGCTACTTGCATTCAGACAAGCTGAAGGTCTTGGGCCCCCTCATCATGGGTATTGGCATCTTCCTCTTCATCTGCGCCAATGCAGTATTGCATGAGAACCGTGACAAGAAGACCAAGATCATCAACCTGCGGGACCTCTATTCCACTGTTATTGATGCCCACAGCTTGCGGGCAAAGGATGGAGGCGCCTCAGCTCCTCTTAATGGCTTTGTCAATTATGTGCAGTCACGGGGCCTGGAGCTAAAGCCTAGTGGTGAAGGCCTGGGTGCTGCGGCTATGCTGGCCAAGAGCTCTTGGCCACCGGGCCTGGCTGCCTCTTTTTCCCCACCTGACCTAGCGTCCTCGCCACGACGTTCCTCCTTCTGCACCTTGCCACAGCCTCCCAGCCTGGCTGAGGCTGTGTACAGCATCTACCAGGAGCGTGCTGCCCGTACTGGCCGCACCTTCACCAGTCCGCCCTGCAGCCCACCAGAGAGCTGGGGCCAGCGCAGCACAGCCAGCTCCATTGTTGGATCCTCGTTGAGTGCTTTCACTCTTCTGCCCTTGGCGCAGAGTGGCAGAGGGGGAGGCTGGCGGAGGCCTCCTGGTGAGCGAGGAGTCCAGGAAATCCCACGGGGGGAGTTTGAATTGAGCCTGACTGACCTCAGCCACGTCGAGGGAGGCTACAGGACAAGGAGGCACAAGCTGGTTCTCAGGCGACAGAGCACCAGCTGCTTGCCTGATGCAAGGCGTCCCCTTTCTCCTGAGCCACCTCAGCCTCCAGCTGTCAGGGGAGACCTGGACTCCAGCCTGTTGGCAACTTCTAGCCACTCCAGATCTCTGGACCTGGGGGAATCACCTCCCTCAACTCCCCCCGCCATCACCAGGATGGACTCCCAGAGCTCACAGTCTGAGCCTTCCAGCAGCAATAAGGGCTACAGTCACCTGGAGGAGGCTGGCACCTCCTTGGAGTCAGTTGCCAACACCCCAGCCAGTAAAATCCAGGACTGTGAGGAGGAACCAGTTGAGAAAATGGACCCCCTCAAGGCTACCAGCACAGAACAAACAGGGGAACAATCTCAGCAAATTCAAAGACAGTACACAAAGAAAGAGAAACTCTTTATGATTTCTAGGTCGCACGCTGCATTAGGGCTGGAGGATGGGGAGCTGGAAAGTACTGGCATCTGAAAAACCAAGAAAGGGCAAAGACACCTTGCAGCCCTCCACACCTTTCCCCCTTCTTCATCTTTTTGTGGACTTAGGAAACCAGTCTATATCCAAAGAGCTGCAGTATGCTACCCTTGAAAATCTGAATTCAGTAAATTCTGTAGATGACTTCAGGAAGAAAATCCTTCTGTCCGATTGTATGTTCCTTGCAAGCCAAATTGTATTAAATATCCACAGTCCAGCAAGTTCTTGAGATCAGCTTAATACAATTTCGGACAGTATAACCGTGCACTTTAATTGTCTTGATTTCCAAGTGCTCCTTCTCCTCCGATTTCTTTCTTGCTGATTTGCCACTAACTGCTTGAAAACCACAGGCACTTTTTTTAAGCTCAAGAGCACAGTGCTCTTTAGATTAAGAAAGCTGAGCTCTCTCTTTGTTTTGGTTCAATCACTAAAAAGTTTGCAAGGCCTTAAGGATGACGTACCTTGACAAAGAAGGAGTTTGCTTAAATTTTGGAAAAATGAGAATTTAGAACAGAATAGAGCAGAACAGAGTGTTGATAATTTAGTTTAAACCATAATGTTCCTCAAAATACCTACTACAATGTGATACTTTATCAAGTATTATTACACATGTATTGAGTAATAGCATTAAAAGATTTTTTTTTTTTAATAAAACATTTGCAAACAAAACTGAGAGATAAAAAGTCTTTTATTTTGGTAAGTACTTATGATGCCATAAATTTCTGTTTTTGTAGTGTGAATGATTAGAGAGATGCTACAAGGCCAAAGGTTTGCTTATGCTTTTAAGTGGATAATAACCATATAGGAGTAATTTCAAAATAAACAGTGGTTTTGACTCTGAGAAACTATGCTTTGGTTCAGTCAGCAAAATCTGTCTCCATTTCTAACAGTGCTTTCTGACATCTGCAGGAATGTGAGATTTTGACATGCTATGGGAAAAAAAAATTATAGGTTTGACCTGTTAAAATTAGATTTTTTTCCTGAGTAACACTGAGTAATTGATCTCAAACTGTAGCATGTTCTTTTAGGAGTCTTCATTCGCAATTGTTGCTTTAAGCCTTTCCCCTGTTCACGTTTTCATATTCATGAAAGTATGTGCATAATGTTAATTTTAAAGCATAATTATAGTCCTGAATGTCTCTGAGCTGCTCACCCTGTTGAAATCAGTGGAAGGTTCTCAGTGACTTTGGATTGGTGAGAGTTTCTTCTTGAGTGAGAAAAGCATCAGGCTTCCTTACGGCTGTTTTTTTTTTTTATGATCTGTGGGCAGACTTTTAGTAGATTGATGAGTTGTTTTATTTTTGAACCTGCAACGTGACAGGCGTTCTTTTATTTTGTTAAAGCAGCTCTGCAGCTTTAGATGCTCAGGAGATTTCATCAGTGTTTCAGGTTTCGAATGTGGATGTGTCATTTCATCATACACAAAGGGAAACTGACATTAAACAAACACATGGTGTAGAGGGGAAAGTTGTTTTTCTGTTGCAAGTAAAATTTTTGTTATGGTTTCATGCCTTGAAATACCTAGTTATATTGCAGTGCATTGCAAAATTGAATATAACAGTCACAAAATGCAATTGCAAAGAGTAATCTGGCAAAGTCCTATATTAAATAAGGCTAATTTAAAAAAAAAAAAAGCCCACAAAGAATTTGCCATGTCTGAAATTGTGGAAGCAGTTCTCTTGAGCAACTGAGAGTATCCAGATGGCAATATCTCTTCTCTTGTCAGTGGCAACCACAAAAAACAATAACATGAACGTCAGCGTGACATTTTTTTTGCTATCAAACTGCTAACACACAGCTGGCAAAAAATGTGTTGCAGAACTGCCTGAGCTGGAAGGTGGATTGATGAGACACTGCAAGAAGTGGCACACAGTTCTCCCAGTTCCAAGTCATTAGTGAACCAGTGCTTATGCTTCTCTTGTGATTTGCAGCAAGATTTATGAGCTGTATCTGAGCAGCGTTACCTGGTGCTGACGGAGATGCTGGTTGTTTGTGCCGATGAAGATACCTCGTTTGTTGCTATCTATGTGAAAACTTTGTAGGGGCACAGGGTAAGAGGTGGGTTGTGGGTACTGCTTCCTGGAGGATGAGGTTCTCATGAAAGCATGACAAGTTTTTATTCATTCTGAAAGGGAGACAAATGTATTTCTGTATATGTATTCTTAGTAAATACTTCTTTAGTCCTCTGAATTTGCAGTGTGCTCCTAAAAAAAAAAAAAAAAAAAAAAAACAAACCTCTGGATGCTCCTTAGATAGATCAATTAAAATAAAGCATTCCAGTAATTCTGCTGATTAGTTTTCTGCAAAGCTTTCTTAATAGCAAAATTACAGTGAAGTTGGTTTTCAATAAGTAAATTTATAGCCTTTTCCTGTGTGCCAAAAAAAGATTTGAAACATCAAGTTTCATCAGAGGAGCTGGATTTTTAGAACAGCAGCTAGAAGTGATTCAGAACACATGCATTAATAGGCAGATAAACCCTTTAAGTATTTAAAAAAAAATCTCTCATTTTTTGTGAATGTGTTCCTCAAATTGTTTGTTGAACAACACATATAGCAGTGGATTTGATGTCAGAAAGTTTTGTTCAAAATTCAAGATGAGCAAATTAGTTTGACTAACACTGGGAAGTGGATGAGAAATTCAACCTTTGTGCATCAGATGTGACTGCTCATAGCACCATTAGCAGTACAGAAACAAACAGTGACTGGTCCAGAACAGAACCTTTCCTGATAACACCAGCAGCTGACACAAGTGCTCAGTTTTGTGCATTGACCTCTTGATTTTCTCCCAGATGACACTGACTGCTTCTTTAAACTACCAGACTGCCTCTTGGCTATTGTTTGCTTGTTTTTTGTCTCTTGTTTATGTATTTTCCTCCCATCTTGTCTTCCCCGTTAACCTTCTTCCCCATTATCCTGCCATCAAGTGCTTCCTCCGCAGTCTTTGTCAAGAGCTGAGTAGTTGCTTCTGTTGTATCTGCCTGCCTACACATTGCAGAGAAAGATGGGCTTGCACACAAAAAACTTTTGAAGATGGAATGATTAAGCTGCAATACCCCTGCATAAAATCTTAGTGTGTTCCAAAATCTGTTTTCTTTTCTAGAGGTATTTATTTTAGCATAGAAGAAATGCTATGGTAGTTATATAAAATTTCTCAAGGAAAAGCTAATTTCTGCTTGAACTCTCAGAGTACTCTCATCATTGAGTACAAGGCAGCATCTCTGCATTATGTCTGCTTCTTAGACAAGACTGAGATCGTAGGTAAATGCCCTAATTGTACCTCAAGTGTTCTACTGTTTATTTCCAAACTGCATATAAAAGGAAAAGGAAAGGTGGATCATGCTGTAAATATGTTCAGGAGACACATAGGCATCCTCCATAGAACACATTCAGTGAAAGTGTTAATACACTGAAGTGGATTAGGAAACGTGCTTGTAAACTCTAAACTTCAACTCCAACTGTTGGCGTATCAGCTGTACTACTACAAAATGCAGTAGCCCAGATTTATTGCACCATATTATTTAGGTACATTTTTAACAGCCCTTTCAAGAAATCATGCTGTCCAATAGTGAGTAACAGTGCCTGTACAAACATCAAATTAGGTAGCTAGCAACCTAGTTGTCAGCCTGCAGTAGTGTACATACTTCCATAATGACCAAAACTGTTCCAAGATTTACACAGAAGTAGCAATATATATATATTTTTAAATAAAATTAATGGAAGTGGCATGATGATAAAGGCTGTTGGATTTTTATGTGAGGATAATCTGATCAAATGTAACAGGTGTTGCATCCATGTGAACAGATTCTTGCTTAGAACAATGACAAAACAACAGCACTGTATTTACAGTGAAAAATGTAAGTTGTTACTAATTCCAGTAGATCACTCATTGATGCCTTGCACCATAAACATTTCAGCCTCTCAGTTTTCTCTTCATCAGGAAAGAGGGGATGAGAGAAAGAAACAAGAAAACAATGCCCAAACCCTGGCCATAACCAAGCCAGAAATCACTCTGCACACAAAAAGCACAGATGCTCTCAGTGGAAGCTGCAATTGCAGTCTTAAAGTAGTTAAGTAATACCTTTTTTTCTTGTGGAGCAAGTACATCAAAATTCCCTCAGAAAAAGTAACTTTATTCCTCTCTTTTCCAAGTGTTGCAAGAAGTAATGGAATGCTTTATCTAGTCTGGTTAATTATTATTTTTCTCTTCCAAGGATGAGTCAAAGATCCAGTATGGACCTGCAAATAGCAAAGATGTGCAGTGTGTGCAGGCATGAACAGAGAGAACAAATAGGGCCTCACAGCCACAGAAGAAAATCTGCTGCAGAGGAGTATGCTATTTTGTCTTCCTCTTCAGAGCTAACCTTCCTATTTACTGATCTCCAAAGCAGAAACATCTAAGCAAGTGCGTAAGAAAAACATCTTCCCCTGTTTAGCTTTCCCTCTAAGAGCAGCAGATGATGGTACAATTCAGACACTAGAGAAGCATGCATTTATCTACTAGTTAGTTGTTTATTTGCAAATTTACTTAGAGACAGTGACACATGGGAGTCACCAGTGGGAAATGTTAAGTTTTGCCACATCCCTGCAGGTGCTCAAGGCCAGGTTGAATGGAGCCCTGGGCAGCTGAGCTGGGAGGTGGCAGCCCTGCCTACAGCAAAGGGTGGGACTGGGTGGGCTTTAAGGTGCCCTCCAACCTAGGCCTTTCTGTGATTCCTTCTAGCAGAGAAATGATCAATCAAGCCCTCCTGGAGGGAGAGGCCCACTCTTCCCATAGTACTTGAATTATGCTGACTCCTGAGTCACCCTAAGTTAGTGCAGTCCATATGCCAGCAACATCTGCCAACAATTCCTCATGTTTGTTTTTTTCTCTATATTCAAGGAAGAAGTTTTAAACAGTAGCTTGAGCTTCAGAGAGCAGCAAAGAGCAGAGGTTAGAACACTTGAACTCACCTCATAGCAAAGATCAAAAGAAAGACGATTTCTCACTTTTAAGATCTTGGTCCCTGACATTTTGTTTTTTGTTTCTCTTTGCCCTCATCTGTACGAAGGTGATTTGGGCTAAGATTTTACAAGCTGCTTTTTCTTTTTTCCTTTCTACTTTCTCTCCATAAGTGGTGAGATGCTCTCAGACTGAATTTAGAAGTTAGAAGAGATTATTTGGATTCAGAGAAACAGCTGATTGCAAACTAAGCTTTACAGCCAATGTCAAAAACATCAAATAATGTTTAACATTTTTGTCCAATATATCCTGTCCACAATGGACTCCAGTTTTGAAGAAAACAACCTACAAGGCCAGAGAATAATTGCCACCAGGCACATGGAAGCCACATCACACTATTTTCTGAAATATCCAGCTACATTCAGACAAACCTTGGTGGGTCTTATTGTTGTTTTAATTTTCTGGGAACTGTGGAAGAAAACTGTTTATGAATCCCTGAAGTGAGAGCCACCACACAACCTGGGAGTGCTGTTTGCTCATCTCTGTGAGTAACATTTGGCATGGTGCTGACACATCTTCCCTGACCTGTCTGGGAGTAAAAGAAGGCCAAGTCACACAGCTTTTTTTTTTGTGTGCATGCGCATGCAGAGCTTTCAAGCTGCCACAAGCCAAATCAGCCATTTTAAAAGAGCAGAACTGCACAGCACAAGCACCTGACAAATGATGTTGCTGCCATGTGCCAGAAGTCACCAGAGGCAGCTCCATCAGGATAAACTCCCCATGAGCTGATGTGGTACTTCCACAACGCACCATAGAAGTGCCTTCTTCCCTCATTCGTAAATTGTACTTTAGGTCTCTCCCTGAGGGCTGTAGCTCAGCTCAGCTCAGCTCACCATCCTCAGCAATTATTTTCTTCTGCAAAACCAGACATATAGAGATACAGCCACAGGTGAAGAGCAGAAAGACCAGACCCACATTAAGTAGAGAAGAAAGAAGGTACCTGTATGCAATGATGATAGCATGCAAATATCTGTCTCTAAGTGACTTTTCTGAACCACTTAACTAGTTTGCTGTGAAACAGAGCCTTTTGAGTGCCTTTCCTCAACCAGGACAGTCATCTGTCATCTTTGAGGCATCCTCCTCCTGCAGGCAAGACACTGAAGCACTGATGTATTTCACTTTCTTCCAGATTTGTTGCACACAAATTACAGGAAATAACTTAGCTAAAGACTGTCCTAAAACACCTCTACAGAATGGTTAATACAGAGTGAATTCTGGACAGCTGATGCCATTTTTTTTTCAGGTGGCAAATTTAATAGGAACTGATGAAGCCTGGCACCAGTGTGGTAGCACAGAAGGTGATGATAGCAGCTCTTTCAGGTTTGGAGACTTAAATCCACCTGCTGGTGCAGCCTTTTGCCTATCTTTGCAACTTGTATGAACTGGGCGAGCAGCACTGAAACGGGCATGTACTAAGGCTGCATCTCTCAACCTCTGATCAGAGACCAACCCACTGGAAGATGTGGAGGCTAGTTCTCTCTCTTAGAGCTTTTAAGTATAGCTTTGGTTCATCACCCCCCATAACAAAGCAGCAAAGCTTTTTAAAGCTTTTCTAAGCAGGAGCGGTGAGGCTGTTTTGCCAGCAATGCTCTTTGCTAGGATGCTCTCTGCCTTACATCTGCTATGGAGGGCTGTAGCCCCAAATGAAAGGCACAGCCCAGTTCTGGGATCTCTGGTCCTGTGCTGAGGGGTGAGGCAAAGGAAGCTCATGTATTCAAAGTAATCATGCTATAACAGCAGTGTTTACTGTACCTTTAATTTCACAAACAAATTGGTCCAGTCCTCCACTTAAGCAAACAATGTGGTGCCTAATATTTCACCAGCAGGTTGAACTAATTCTCACATGGGCAGAGATTTCAACAGCAATGTTTTCCAAAAAGCTGCAGTAGGTATCCAAAACATACAGTAGAGTATCAGTTAATTTTACAGTTATGGATAAAACAATCTCATTTGTAGTTTAGACAATCTAGGTAATGCTGCCACCATTAAAAAAAAAAAAAAAAAAAAAAAAAAAAAAAAAAAAAAAAAAAAGGGGAGGGTAGCAATAGAACTGGTGTTTTGTTTTTTTTTTTTGTTTGTTTTTTTGTTTTCCTCCCCCCCCCCCCATCAAACCCAACCAAATATTTTGTTCAGTTTCTTCCTAAGTAAGCAGCAGGGTAGGAGACAG